TCCCTAATCAGCCGTATCCCTTTCGCGAGACACTTGGCGGTCTTGGGTATGGTGAGTCCCAACAATACCTCGATCAGTCCATGGGCTGCTTGGAAGCTGAACACACAACTAGCCAGAACCATCACTACGGAAATGACAAAATGAACCTATCAAAACAAACACATTTTCGGGATTGGAGTTGCGGTAAAAATAGGACGCCGCTGGACCAAGAGTTTTGGTTGGCTACGCTCGAAGGTGGATGTCGGCCCAGCTTTGCACTTGCAGTGTCTTCGTATATCGTCCCGTCTTCCTGCAGAGACCAAGCATCACCACACAGATGTGGTGGCCTCGATCTTGAGGATTTTGCTCCGCCGTTCTCAATGTTGACATTGGACGTTGAGAGGGCTCCTTCTCGTGAACACAACCTGCAGCTGTGATTGGTCAGATCCTGGCGCTTAACACGCGACGGGCCCTATTCTAGAAAAGTGGGTCCTAAGTAGGATGGGACAGTCACGCACCTGCCAGCAACAAGCCATGATTTCTTGGTGGCTCCTGCCGTACGGACCACGCTACGGAGAAATGCTCGACAGCTATTTTTAGAACTATGTTGAGAAAGCAAAACGTCAATCCCAGCATCAAGACCAGACGGAAACCAGATGGAACCCTTTTGCCGTCGGTCATCGAGTCGAGATTGGCAAACTCGGTTTTGGCGTCTGATTTTCTTGGATGCCTTTGTTAAGTGTCTTTCAGAGTACCCCGTTCGAGCGTTGGGGGACTAACATTTTGCCATTTCACATTTATCCTTTGCCTTCTTCTGCCTTTGCCTGTTGGTTACCCTTGCTTCGAGGAACTACGTGCGGTATGCTGCGTCCCTGCCGGCTATTCCACAAAGACGGATCAGCCATTACTGGCCGGCACTGGTCCAAAGCTGTGACGTTGTCCCACCGGGCTGTTTGGTAAGGATCGCCCAGGTGGACAAAGATCCTCTTGCAAGAAGGGAGCGGCCAACCAGGGACGGAAAGCATGAGTCGTACTGCGCACGGGCGATGGTCTCTGTTCGTAAATACAGACCGCATGACGTTGGTGCCATCTTTCTTTATGCATACGGCGTCTTTTTTCGGACAGTGACGTTGCCCATCTTTGCAGGTGAGAGAGTCTAATGGTTTACAAGAATGGCTGCTCAAATATGCCCCTTGCATCGAGCTAGATTAGATTAACCGCGCTCGCCCACCACGACGTAACGTTAAGAATAGGCGACGAGCGGCAGCGGAGTAATACTTTGTCCATTTCTTCCATATTTTTCATATGTTCCTCCTTTTCGACCAATTCAACCTAGGTAGGGATAAGCTATGGATATATGTCGTGCTTTGTTGTATTGTTGGCCCGGTTCTGTCTGCGCCTCGGTTTGGGCCTGGAACTTGGGCCTGTCGGTTGGTGGCCGCCGGCATACGACGCTCTGTGCATTTGCTAGATGCGATTGTCATAAGCATGACCAACAGCGATTCAAGCAAAACGAGCCGATCGTTTTCTGGCTGGCCGTTCGCTGGCCGTTCGCAGGCACCAAACTGTATGTTATGGCGCATCAATTCGTTGCCATCGACTGAAGACTGGTGAGGCTGCCAGAGCTGCCAGTGTTGGTAAGAAACATGGCGTTTTCAGGTGGCGGAGTACGAATTAATATCTGACATGATACCGATTTCGTCTGGAGTAAATGTGTGTGACCACAAATACGCCTGCTGGCGGTGTTTTTGTCCTGGGATATTTGGGGCTGTTGGCGTCAGAACCCTGCAGTTGCAGTTGCAGTTGCAGTTGCAGTTGCAGGCAAAGACACAACGCACAGCAGCTGGGAGAAACATGTGGGACATAAGACGTAACTACAGCATGGCATCAAAATGTCTCGAACAGCGACAGGGGCTGTTTTGAAAGCATTCTGCTCGTCCCTCCCGGTGGCGTTGTTGTTCGGTGTCGTTTCCATATGTGTCTCCCAAATTCGGCCTCTATCATATACGACTTTGTTTCAAGGTCATATAGCTGTTGGTTCGTAGAAACAGAGCATGTTGGCAGGTGGTCTAAGAACTGACGTGGAGCTGCTTGAAGTGGACGTCCAAGGAATGCGAAGTGAGTCGCCGGTTGAAATGTGCTGTCAATCTGGCCTCAATCACAACCACAATATGGAGCCCTTTAGTGACCAACAGTCCCTCGAGGCGAGACAAGGCGTCCACGAGCCTAAGAAATAAACCGAGACAGGATAGCCGCGCTTTCTTCCGGATATTGATGTGGTGTCGAGGGAGCAGAAAGGATGCGCCAAGTACACGCTCCGAGTCCAGCGGAAAACACTCGAGAAGACTCGGCGGTGACCAGGCCCTGCTACCAAACGACGCACGTCACGTACCTGCATACGCATCGCACAAGCACAGCCGCCACGGGCCAGAACTTGTCAACAAACTGGCTGGAGATGGATTCGGGTGTGTCGGCGTCTTCTTTAATGAGTTGTTGTCCTTCTCACCATGCCCGACAAAAACAAAAGGAATCGCCCGATGCAACACGGACGTCGGCACAACTAAGCACCAGCCGGCAGCCTAGCCGCGCATGTCGTCTGGATATGGCCGCACGGCTGCACAGCTGCACAACTGCACAGCCCTGCCACTGCTGCGCCGTCGCGACCACAGAAACGAACAGCTCGTCCGGAGCACTGGCGGCTATGAGATGAGACTCGGGGAAAACATTGTTCGAGGAAAAGTACTCTCCTGGGTCGTGCCTGCCTTACCACCCCTGTCCGGATGGCTCCTGCTGCGCGAACAATGGATACGTTGTGCGCAGCACTTCTGTGTCGCTCCTGCCTCCACGCCGGCTCCGCTCGTAAAATGCCTCTTGCGTGCCTGCCGTATGTCGCGTTTTATCCTCTTAGATTGCGGCGCTGCGCTCTCGCTCCTCCCATCTCTGCAACAGGACAGTACCAATCGTTCCTGCCGTTCGCTGTTCGCTGTTCTGCTCCCCCTCTTTTGGGCCCATTCCCATGCTAGTCCGTTGCCCACCGCTCCTTCCTCGTGTGGCCCCAGGCCGTCCTCTCTCCAAATCCCCTTAACATCTCCACCGCTCCCACCTCTACCGTTTTTCTTGACTCTCCTCCAATCTTCATCCTGGATCAAGAGTTATTTTTAGGACTGGAGATTCCTGCTCCATCTTCTCTGCACCCTCTGCACGACCACGCGCGAGCCTGTTCTTCGGGACTGCTAAACGCGTGCTTACCGAGGACGAATATTCGATTAATCACTTTTTCACGTTTCATTGTTTTTCTTTATCGCGTTTCTTTGTCGCCGCTCGACGACAGCCGCCCGCCAATCCGATTGACTCCATTGGCCCCCAGCACAACAGTTGGCAGCGGCAGCTTCCGCCAGATCCTCGTCACTGCCAGCTGCATTGAGACAAAGGCGCAGACCGTTGAGACCGTGCAGACAGTGCAGACAGTGCAGCCAGTGCTGACAGTACAAAGGCGCAGAAGCGCAAAGACACTGGACGCCAACGTCAAGCCAAACGAGGTTCGTCAAGAAAAGGCACAAAGGCAACCTAACAGCACACCTGTCGAATGAACCGCTCAAGGCTTGTCCGTGTCAAGTCCAACGATACAACCGCCTGTGTGCCGATCCTTTTATAACTCACCTGCGTCCCCCCTCGCAGGCTGTCAGTGACCCTGTCTCGCCTGTTTTTCAGCCAAGCCTTGCCTTGAGATCGACGCATCTACATGTTCCGACGCACTGGCACATCATCACATATCCGTCGCATCATTTTGTGGAAACACCCAAGACCAGCGAAAGACAGCCCGTTCTCGTCATTGCGGGCATATCCCAGGGAACCGTTACAGAACCGTCAGCAAGCAGGCGTCATAAGTCTCAGGACAACGCCAGAGTCGGCCAACCACACATTGCCAGCATCATCGCCAGCACTTATTGCTTAGCCCAGCGCTGCGTCCCGAGCTAGCAACGCGCCCCACCAGGCAGCCGCTCGTCCCCTAACTCCCGTGAACGTAAAAACTCACTGCGAGCCAGGCCCATCGTCATATATTGCCTGGCTGTTTTCTTCGGTTTCGCTGCACGGCCAGGCCTGACAGTGCGCCTTTCAGGCTACCATCTTGGCCGTTTCTGCAGGGCTTATTAGTCCGTACAGCGTGCAGACAATCGCCATTTTCGGCTTGGCTTGCCTTTTTTCGCTTGGGTTTAGAAACGAACCGCATTACACTCCTCCCCCTACTTCGGATCCACCAACCGTCATTTCTTTTGGGATCTTTTTCGTCGCCTCCACACAACGCCCGTCGCCCGTCACCTGTCGGTGCGCTGCTCTCTGACCTCGTACCGTCAGGAACCCCGGCCTGTTTCATATCTCAGCGAATGATTTTTTTTATTTCGCCCTTTTCGCCCTCTTTGCCCGTGTCGCCCATTTTGGTCCAGCGTCGCCCAGCCGAAGAATATTCCATTTCATTACCTTAACCCATCCCCCACCTCTCTCTCTTTGGCCTCCCGGGCCTCTCTTCTTCCCCAAGACCTAAAAAAAGAAACACGAACGGCATCGATTCCAATCGTCGAACATTGCTAGTCCTTCCATTTCACCTTCCATTTCACCCTCCACATCTCCCCCCATTCCAGCCTTGACGGCGCACAGCTGTTCGCCCGACTTTCCATTCCGTTCCTGGCTGAAGCTGTTCCCGACGTTTTGTCGCCATCCAGCGCTTTTTTTGGCTTGCGCGCAATCCAGTCAGAAACCGCCACCCCACCCATTCCCGCGACCACATTGCCCTGATCATCCGCCGACATCGATACACCGGCGGCGACGGGTACCCCGGCATCTACGGCGACATAAACTGACGCGGCTCGAACGTCAAATACTTGCATCGCTGCTCGTCCGCCGTGAATCCAGCGACCGCACGCACGCGCGCGCGCACTCCTCACGTCACACACCACGCTCCTCACCCACCGATCACCGATTGAATCGACGCGCTGCCGTAACTCGCAGCATCGACATTTACAATGGGGCGCAGAAAGATCGAGATCAAAGCGATCAAAGATGACCGCAATCGCTCAGTGTAAGCATCCGGCACTCAATAATCACGGCGTCGCCCGCCCCCCTCCTCCTTTTCCCTTGTCCCGCGACGAACACGGCTAACGTGCATGCAGCACATTTTTGAAACGCAAAGGCGGCTTGTTCAAGAAGGCACATGAGCTCTCCGTCCTGTGTTCCGTAGACGTCGCCGTCATCATCTTTGGCAGCAACAAAAAGCTTTACGAATACTCATCAAATGACATGCGCGACCTGATCGGACGATACACGTACCATGGCGGCCCCAATGAGCACAAGGGTCCCAACGACTTCAATGGTGGCGGCGACGATGGGTCTGACGACGAGGTCGATGGCACACCACCCCCAGGCATGCAAAACGAAGCCGTCGAGTCGCACATGATGCCGCCGCACTATCCCGGCCAGGCACCTCCACAGTTTGCGCAGTTCCGTCACGGCACACCATCTGCGTCCCCGCCCATTCCGAACGGCGTGGGCTTTGCGCAACATGCCGCCGCGACACAGGCCATCCAGCGCGGCCACACGCCGCAACCTCCCCAGAACGGATCTCGGCCGACGTCGCGAAACGATATGCGCCGCATGCCACCAAACGTGCCACAACCAGGTCCGCCACAAGGGCCCCACCAACCCAACGGGTACGCCTTCATGCCACACCCAGCCATCTACAACCCCCAGGCCCAGCAAAACATGGCTCCCAACATGAACCAGCCCGGCCCGCAATATCCGCCCTACGCACCTCCAGCGACAACCCACGCTCCGCCACCTCATATGCAGCAGTACGTAGACGAGCGGCCGGCCTCGATGCCACCGAACTTCCCCCCTCAGGTTCCTCAGGGTCCGCAGGGCAACTCACTACCACCTCCGCCGCAAGTCCAGCAACGGCACTCGGTGTCGCCGCCTCAAGCACATGCGCAGCACCCACAGACTGGTCCCCGGACATCACCGCCAAACGCGCCGTCTCTGCCGCCGCCGCCACAACATAATCCCCACCCGAATCAGCAGCAGCCACAGGTCAAGCACGAGGACGCAAACGCACCGCACCCGCCGCAGATTCAGGAGCCGCAACCGCCGACACCCGTCGAGCCAAAGCCAGACCCTGAATGGCATGAAGTGAAGAAGCTTCCACAGCGGAAGCAGTACAGTATCTTCACGCCCATTGACGAGAGCCGATCCATCTTGTCACAGCACCTGGCTGCCTTCCGCGGCGAGTCGGTCAAGGCGGAGCCGTCCACATCGGGTGCCGCGAGCACCAAGAACATCGACGTAAACAGCAGCAACCGATCACAATCCGTGGACTCGGGCAACATGGCCTCGCGCAGCAGCGCCACCTCCTCGCCGCCCAGCAACAAGGCTGCCGACAGTGCCGCAGCACAGATGCCCCAGCCCAAATCGCGCGTGTCGATCTCGTCCATTCCAGAAACCATGTTCACGCCACCGTCCAGGCAAAGCAGCCTGCGTCCAGGCGGGCCGTTGCGGCCTAGGCTGCGGGTGGAGATCCCTCCGGATGGGTCCGAGGACAACAGCGCCGCCACCGGCACAGGAGGCTCCGCTTCGTCACCTCGCAATCCAAGCGACGCGGGTCCCCTCGGCGCGAGACGCAACGGCGATACGCACACGGGCATGGTCCTCCCGCCACCGTCGCCTTCGGCGTCCGCGATATTGTCAGCCGGCGCGTCCGGGCCGCCTAATCCTTTCGCTCGACCGATTCCCCACCAGAGCAGCAACACCAACAACAACAGCAGCAGCAACAACATGCACATCGATACGCCCGGATCTGCGCTGCCGTCTCGGTTCCTGAACAACGAACTGTTGCCCAGCCCGAGCAGTTTCTATCCCGAGTGGGGGTTCGGCCGTGGCAACGACAGTGCGACGCTCCCGAGTCCGCTGAACTTTGCCACGCCCATTGTGGGGACAGGGCCGAGCTTCCTGCGGGATGACCACGCATCGTCCAACAACAAGCGCAAGAGTCCTGAAGCCAGTGCAGGCGCGTCGTCCTCGGATCCGATCGACCACAGCAACGAGCCGAAGAGGGTCAAGGTCGACTCCTAGCGGCGTACCCGAACTTGGCCTCCTTCTCCTCTCTATATTTGTCGTTTTCAAAGATACCACGTTACTTTGCCGGTCGTTTTCATGCTTGCTTGTTGAGGTTTTCTCGGGCGTATTTGCCTGACACGGGTTTCTCGTTTTGTCCTTTATTTCTTTTCTTCATTTTTTGTTCTATTTTCATTTTCATATGTACTTTCCACCGGATGGAGGCTAGTCACGATTGACACAGCTGGTTTCAAATCACCGCCATCAATGGCTGCCGTCACTCTTGGTACATTGCTGTTTTCATATGGCATTCCATCATCTCATTTTCTTTCCCGTTTTCTCAATTCCTATTCTACGCTGGGAGTTTACTGGCCTTTTCTGGAAACAAAAACTTCGGGTCGTTTTGAATTTTTTCTTTTTTTTTCTACATTTATATTTTACATATTCCGCTTTTTGGATAATATGGGAACGGCGCTCGGTGCCAATCATTTTGGAGATGGCGCAGGAGGCGTTTTCGTTTTTCACCATAATTTATTTCTATTTACACTTTTGTCCGTCTTTGTTCATCCGCCTCGATGCTCTTGGATGAGAATGAAAATAAAGTCCAGCAAAATGTTTTAAAAGGCGCCTTCTCGTCCGCGTGATAGAATGATTGCCCGTCTGCAAATCCCAACACTTATACATCAGGCGCTTGGACGCGTGTCTGGCAACAGGAGCAGCCGCTGTCTCGATGCGACTGGTTCTCTTCCGACGTTCCACCGGTGCAAGCCCGACAGGAATGCATATGGCTCTCGTACCCTCGTGCGTACAAACACGGCCAATTGCAATATCGCCATGTCGTAAAACGCCGGCCAAATTGGAAAAATGTATGCAAAATAGTCTATTAGAAACACTGCCGAGAAAGGAAGGGCTCACGACAAGCAGGAGGAAGGTGCACATAACCGATCCGTACCATCATCGGACAGAGAAGGGCAAGTGCGGATGGAGAAGGAGTTCCTCCTACATCAGGAAGGGCGTCCTCCAATCGATCAGGACCTGCGTCGTACCTTCTCTAGCGTTATCATATGCCACTAGCATTGCCCTTGCCGTTCCCGAGCAATCGCCATTTCAACGTCCGTCGCGCCTTCCCCACTTGGCGATGCGATACCGCGGGCTCCACAGCGTCATCCTAGTGGAGCATGACGTGTGAAACGGACCTCAGAACTCGGAACTCCCGCACGTATAAAGGCGTTGCACTCTCTCCCCTTATTGTCGGTAGACGCAGCATCTAGCCAAGCCACATTCACGCCATACATTCCTCCGACACAATGGACCCTCGATCCTTCATTGGCAAGCGCCTCGGCGACCACGACATCCCAACGCCAGCGGCCGTCCTCGACCGGGCCGTCGTCGAGCGCAACTGCATCGGCATGCTCGCCGCCGTGCAGAACATGAATCTCGGCTGGCGGGCGCACATTAAAACACACAAGGGGCGTGCGACTGGCCACATTGTCCGTCAAGTCGGTTCACCCAGCTAACATCCCTCCAGACAGTCGAGCTGACCCGCTTGCAAGTCGGCGACAAGCTGCCTGTCCAGCTCATCGTCTCGACCGTTCTCGAGGCCGAACGCGTCCTCCCGCTGCTCAAAGCATGCCAGACCCAGACGACGCCCGCACCCCGCTCCGTCAACATCTTGTACGGCGTCCCGCTGTATGCGGCCGCCGTGCCCCGTCTGGCAGCGGTGGCGCGCGAGCTGGGACCCGGCGGCGTCTCCGTGCTGATCGACCACCCCGACCAGATTGCCGTCGCACAGCAGCTGGTCAAGGCAGCCGGCACGTCGGTGCGCGCGTTTGTCAAGGTCGATATGGGCACGCATCGCGCCGGCGTGGTGCTCGGTTCCAGCCAGTTCACGGCCACCATCCAGGGCGTGCTCGGGGCGCATGCGGCCGGCGAGGGCCTGTCGTTTTACGGCCTCTACTGCCACGCGGGCCACTCGTACGACGCACGCGAACCCTGGGCGGCGCTGGCCCACCTCGTGGCCGAGTTCACGGCACTCGGCGAGGCAGCGCAGGCGGTGCGGTCCATGGCACAGGACAAAGCGCAGGTCGCTGCGGCGGCGGCTGGTGCGCAGCCTTGGCCGCTGGTTCTGTCCGTGGGTGCGTCGCCGACGGCGGCATCGCTCCGGCATCCCGACCTGGGCGGCGGCGGTGGCGACGCGAGCAGGACGGCTGATGCGGGTGGCCGTGCAGGTGCTGCGGCAAAAGAGAACGCAGCCACGCTGCGGGCCAAGCTGGACGACCTCGCGTCCCAGGGCTACGAGCTCGAAGTCCACGCTGGCGTGCAGCCCGTGCTCGATCTCCAGCAGCTGGCGACGCACTCCTGGGGCGGTGGTGGGGGCCGTGCCGAGACCGACGACTTGGCTCTGACCGTCATGGCCGACGTGGTCTCGGCCTACCCCGGTCGGGGTGCCCAGGGCGGCGACGAGTTCTTGGTCAATGCCGGCTGCCTGGCCCTCGGCCGAGAACCCGTCAAGAACGTGCCGCTTGCGTCGGGGGCGGGAGGCGGTCCAGTGTATACGGGCTGGGGCGTTGTCCAGCCGTGGACGAGCGACAGTGCTGCCAGTGCTGCCAGTGCTGGTGCTGGCAGCCGCGTCGTGCCACCGGGTGCCGACTTCCCGCGACTGCTGCCGGCGGACGGTGACCTGGGCTGGTGGCAGGTGGGCCGCATCAGCCAAGAGCACGGCATCCTGACCTGGGCAGGTGGACCGCCACCGTCCGCCGCATCCCTCCAGCCGCGATTGGGCCAGCGGCTTCGAATCTGGCCCAACCATGCGTGCATCGCCGGTGCCGGTTTCAGCTACTACCTCGTCGTAGACGGCACGAGCGAGAACCCGGATCAGGTCGTGGACGTGTGGGAGCGGTGGACGGGTTGGTAAGTAGCTTTGTTTCGTAGATTGCAAGTAGGTTGGGTATTCTTCTATGGTTTGCTGGCCAATACAACTATCCAGTGGTGAATTCAGTACGAAGCACATGATTATAATTTAGAACTTCATTATTTTCGTCCATTTTTGATATATAAAATATGAAAAATCAAATAAAAGAGAACAACCACACAATCAATACAATCAATACATTTTAACACAAAACCAGTTTTATTTTAACATGCTGGTAGCATCCAAGGTACAATCACAGCGGAAACGATTTGAACGCCGTCCCCTTTTCCTCCTCAGGGCCAACCAAAGAACTAGACTGAAGCAAGCAAACCAAAATACGGATGACACAGGCCTTGGAACAACCGTTGAAAAACAAAAACACAGCCTCGCTCCTCCCTCTTTACTTGCACCGCTTGTCGACAATGCCCGCACCGTTCTCGTCGTACTCGGCGCGCGAAATCCACATCTGGTGGAAGGTGCCCAGGCTGGCCAGGATGCTGCCGCCGATCCAGGCGCCGAAACGGCGCTCGCTCGTCAGACCAGCGGCGTGGATCTTGATCTTGACGCCGGGCCACATGGCCGTCAGCTCGTTGTTGAGACGGTCGTTGAAGCCGTTCAGCAGGCTCGTGCTGCCGGTGACGACGACGTTGCCGAGCAGCAGGGGCCGCAGGTCGACGTCGACGCTGTTGACGGCCGCGCGCACGAGCTCGGGGATCGTCTGGTTCTTGGCGAGCGTGGGCGTCGACGCCGCGAGCAGCGACGAGGACGTGGCGAGCGTCGCGGCGGCGGCGGCCGACGCGGCGGCATCCTCGGTGCCGGACGCCGACGCCGCCGTGGCAGCCGCCGCTGCCGCCAGCGTCGAGGGGAACGCGGCGGTGTCGTCCCACATGCCCTCGGCGGCGCGGTACCGCTGCTCGCGCCACATCTGGTTGTAGCCGTCGGGCATCTCAAAGACGCGGCCGGGCTGCGCCTTGACAAAGTCCTCGGTGCCGGGAGTCGAGAAGCGGCCCGGGCCGCGCCAGACCTCCACGACCGACTCCTTGAACTCGGTCAGCAGCCGCTCCTCCTCGTAGGCGCGGAACGACGGCTGCACCGCAAAGGGAAAGGTGCGCAGGCGGGCCTGGGCGGGCGCGCCGGCGTCGACGGGCGTCTTGTTCTCGACCATGAACGTGGGCACGACGTGGATGGCCGGCTCGGCCTGGGCCTTCCACATCTCGCGGATCTGGCCCGACAGGTACAGGCCGCCGGCGGCAGAGCGCTGCACCGAGCGGCGCAGGACGACGCCGTCGTGGACGGCCGTCACGTTGGTGCCGGCGCCGCCGACGTCGATGACGAGGGCCGAGGCCTTGCCGGCGGCAAAGGCGGCCAGCACGGGCGTGCGGCTCAGCCAAAAGGCCGGCGTGCCCCAGTTCTCCATGGCAATCTCAATCGCGCGCTCGCGGGCCTTGGCGTTGTTCCACGGCGCCTCGGTCATCAGCAGCGGGTTCTCGGCCAGCGGCTTCTCCTGGGCATCGACGGCATCCGTGTCGGCGTCCAGGTCCATGGCGTCGTCGTCACCCTCGTTGCCCTCGACGCCCTCGCCGCCACTGGCCTCCTTCTTGCTGGGCCGCGGCTCCGTCGGCCGCACCGGCTGCAGGCGGCCCACCAGAACGTGCTCCCACAGCTTGACGCCGGCGTCCCAGTCCTCCACGACGCTGTCGCGGTTCATGTAGTTGCGGACCTCGAGGCCCTCGCGCGGAAACAGGCTCTCGTCGCCAAACAGGTCGCGGGCGGGCTTGGCGCTGGCGCCCTCGGTCGCCGGGAAGTGGGCGTAAAAGGACGGCACCACGATCTTGGGGACGTCCTCGCCCGCAAAGCCGGCGCGGGTGTGGCAGTAGCCGGGGTCGAGCACAAGAGCGGAGACCTCATCTGCATGGCGTTAGTAGTCTGCCGTGCCCTCCACGTCTTCTTCATCACCGCTCTCCCTCCCCCTCAGCCCCCATCTCTGCGTCTCTGCGTCTCTGCGTCTCTGCGGAAACCGCTCTTACCTCCGCCGTAGACGTCCGTCGGCTGCGTCGCCGAGGTCAATGGCTGCTGCTGCGCCATGGTGAATGTGTGTTGGAGGCGATGCCGGGGGGAATTGGAACGTGCCACGCGTATCGAGTCGGGGCTCCCGCCGTCAGCACAAGTTGTCCGTTGTTCGTCGAAGCGTCCGGCGTCGCTGTCGTCAATGCCGTCGCAAACGGTCGCGTCGCCGTTGTCCCGTCAATTGCGAAAAGAGGGAAACCGAGACCTTGTACGCTGGTCTGATTGTCGTCGCTGGCGTCGTGGGTGAGGAATGCGTGCTGTTGTGGTGGAGAAGGGGGGAATGGCCGTCTGCTTGGGTTTTTTGTAGTCAATTCTTTTTGGGGCCCTTTTTCGAAGTTTATGTCGCGTCCTCGAAGCTGGCACCACCACGAATGAAAGACAAGGAGAAGGAGCGAACAGCGGTGCCAGAAGAGCTTGCCCATTGGCGTATTTTAGTGGAGGGGTTGGTTTTTAGTGCAAGAATGGCGGACGAGGCAGGACGGCAGGCACGACTAGGCGTTGGCTGGCTGGCTTTCCTGGTGGCCTGGCCAGAATGGGCAACTGTGGTTGGCACTTGCCTCGTAACTTGCGTCGAGAGCTTCCAAGGAAAGCACGACCCGGCGACAATACTCAACGAGAAGGAAGGATGCAAGAGCGTTTATTGTGCTGCTACGATATATGTCTTTTTGCCATAAATTGATTGATTACGTAAATGGGTATCTTATTACGAATTACACTGTATCATCTGTTGCTTCTTCCCTTTTCTGCGAGCTTCACCCGTAGAGGACTTCGCAGACGCCAGCCAGTGGGATGTCCATGACGGCGTCTGTGCCGATGTTCCACAGCCGGTTCCAGTCGCCCGGGGTGCGTGGAGCAGCACTATGGCTGCAGCCAGCGCCGTCGTGATGGCCAGATCCGCTGCCACGGCTGCCACGGCTGCCGGGCCGAGCACCGCCCCAGCCACGGCCCCGGCTGCCCATGGTGAGCCCGCTGTCCTCGCCTGCGACGCTGCCGCCGTCGTCGCCCGCACCACCCCCGCTGGGCGCATCCGTGCTTCCGGCCGTGCTGGTCCTCTTGCTCTTCCGGTCGCGGCTGTTCTTAGCAGACCGGTCGCGCCATACGGCCTTGGCGAGCGGCGGCGACGGCGAGGAGGGCTCGCGCTGGTGCGTAAAGGGCTTGGACGCCGACCACGACGCGATGGTGTCGGCGTTGTGGAGGCTGGGGTTCTGGCGGCGGTGGGTTTGCGCCTGTGCGGGCGGTGGTGGGTTTTGTTCCGAGGGGGGTTGCTCCAGCGGCCGCTGCCGCTGGGGCTGGCCGGGTTTCTGCTGCATCCGCGGCTGGCTGCTGCGGCTGCTCGTGGGCCGGTTGCCGCTGCTCTTGCTGGCACTGCTGGCCGTGGCGCCGCGGCCCTGGACGATTTTGCCGTCGGGCCCGCCAACGATGACGACGCAGCCGTCCTCGTCCACGGCCGCGATCTTGGCGGCCCCGTCGACAATGGCCTCGATGCTGTCGAGCGGCAGCGTCAGGATCTCGGTGTTGTAGGCGGCGAGGGCCACGTAGATGTAGACAAACGTCATGACGAGAAAACTCGGAATGGCCAGGCTCCACCAGCGGTTGGGGTAGTAGTAGATGCCGAGGGCGTGCAAAAAGGGGCTCGGCAGGTAGCTCCAGAGCAGGTAGATGAGAAAGGCCAGACTGGAAAAGAGGTACAGCACAAAGCCGTAGTACTCGTAGGTGGGCACTTGCGGCGAAGCGCGCGGCACGGGCTCGAGCTCGTCGTCGGTCGCGTCTGGGGTCGTGGGCCGCGAGGGCCGCAGCAGCGACGTCAAGGACGGCGAGGGGGGCAGCGGCGTGGGCGGCCGGCCGTAGAAGGGCGGAGCAAAGTTGTGCTGCAGCGGCGGAGGAGGCGGCCCGCTCGTCGAGGACGTGGAACGAATGGCCGACCGTGTGCGCCGTAACAGCCGGAAGCTGCCGCTGCCGCTGCCGCCGCCTCCACCTCCACCACTGCCGTCAGGGTCGTCAAAGGCACCCTCCCCGCTGCCACCCCCTCCGCCCGAGGCACCCGTTGCGGCCGCACCGTCAGGCCCGACACCGTCAATGTCGTCGGCGGCATCGTACTCGTCGTCAAACTCGTCGCCGTCCTCGTCCTCCTCGTCCTCCTCGTCCTCCTCGTCGTCGTCAAACTCGTCAAACTCAAACGACTCGTCAAACTCGTCGTCGTCGTCCTCTTCCTCGCCGCGGTACGACTCGCCCTCGTCACCCTCGTACTCCTCGGCGGCAGCCGATTGCGCATCCGACGCCGGCTTGTCCTCGTCTTCCGAAGGGATGGCCATGGAGGGTCAGCGCCGCCGCAACGCCCGTCTCAGATACGGGGGCGTCAATCTCGCAGAGCGGGTATGGAAGGGAGGATCGGGGATGATGAGCCCGCCGTGGGGAGTGGTTGCAGTCGTGTGTTGGGGACGCGATGCCGGCTGGCTTGAGTCGCGCTTGATGTTGGCCCGTTGTGCTTTCGTGATGTTCGACGATGTCTAATGGCTATCTCGTCCAGTCACGGAACGCTTACCGGGGGCTAGGGGCTAGGCTAGCTCAACTGCGCTAACACTTCTTCCCCTGTTGGTTAGTCCGAGGAGCGTTGATTGGTGGATGGACACGGCCAGGGAGTGCACGGCGGGGCCTTTGCGAGTCGTAATGTGTGCCAGGTTGTCTGAGAACCGCCTGAAATAGAGTGAGTGATGGCCTGAAATGCCCTGTAGCCTCGTAAATTGGGCCTTCTTTTAGGGCGCGCAAAAGGCACTTCCCGCTGAAAGGCCCGCCAGCACCATCGTTTTCATGCATACTGTGGTAGTCAATAACACTTACTTTGGCATATCCTCGTAATGAGCTGTAAATACTCACCACAAACCCCTGTCTCCTGGCCCTGCCTCCTGTCCCAGACCCCATCCCACAAGCGAGATTCAAGGCAAGATGCAGAAAGACGCGATCGACTTCGTTTGGCGATCCCGAGCCAGCCCTTGTTCCGGGTAGATTGAGTGTGTTGGCGTCCATTGCTGGGTGGCTTTTTCTTCAGTAGTTTTTACGGAGTAATCTTACTGAGTACGAATTATACAACTCGGATCAGAACCTCGAGGGTTCAGGTCGATGTGTGGGCAGTGGCACGACGTATGCCGTACTTCGCCTTGTCTGTCGTCCGGTTTCACATGGACCAGCTCAGCCCAGCCCACAAACTCGGCCAGGCCCTGCCGTGCCGTACCAGGCCCAAAGGAGGAGGAGACGTTGATTTATCTTTGCTTTGCGCGAGTTTGAGCCTGAGCTTGGCCCCTTGCGTTGGCCTTGTCTTTTTGTTTTGTCTAATGTGCAGAGTCGCCTCATCCTTTCCATCACTCTCTGACACGGTTCCACGTCCGATGCCTCTGCCTCTTTGCGTCGTCCCTGCTCCTATGCTCTTATGCTTCGGACAGAGTGTTATTCCTCAAGACGGGACTCTGTACGCAAGCGTCTCACCAAGAAACTATTGCCAACAATTGGCATGCTGGTATGCATCGTAGACCGGATTGGCTGATTGGCTGTCGTAGCACACACCATCCATGATTGCTGGAACAAGACACTCGTACTTTGCAGCGCATCTTACATGTACAGCGGGATATGTACTCCGGACGGAGTACTTCCGTAATACTTGGATGGAGACTCTCCCACAACAGAACATCTCCGCCATCCTCTCCTTGCTTGCTTCCAGGGAGGCCACTGAAGCGCGGCGCGGCCGCTTTTTCTCGATTTGGCCAGGCAGGCCGAAGTCTGTCTTTCTGCTGGTGAGTCTCCCCAACGAGCAAGCTGACAGGCGCCCTGCCCTCTCACTGATCGGCGTACTGCATCTTACTGCGAGCCAGCGGACGCGACGTGGGATGTTGTTGGCGACTTTTCTTGCTGATTCAGTTAGCTGAGACATGCTCCCTCTTTGAGACGCGGCCCCCTTTTCGTTCTGTTTTCGTGTCTCGTTTTCTCTTTTATGTTTTCGGCATCCACGAGACCAAGCGTGTTCAAGCCACGTGCAGAGACAGGTCAAGAGATCGAGGGCAAATGGCCGTGTGAGTGAGTGATTGAGTGACTGTGTGAGCAAAGGTTTCCACTCGTATTCTCGCTCGCCTTGGGTTGTCGCCGAGACGAATTACACGTACGATCCTGCCGCAGCCAGCTGAAGAGGAACACTCTCGTGGTACGCAGACCGTCTGTCCACCTCTTCTTCGTCATACCTCAATCGTGTAGGTCGTATTTGTGTGCCTTGTCGACTCAGGTTTGGACACACTCTCGTACGTCTTCGTAAACAAGTTTCGAACGAGTCGTCTGCAGCCCTGACTGGGCAAGGTTTGGCCAACCAAGCACAAGCAAGCCCGACCAGGCCACAGGTCAGCTGGGTCGGCCAGGTCGACCGGGAGCGGGCCAACCAGAGCAATTCGCCGTCGTGTCTCTCAGCACATTGCCAGCATTGAAACGGACAACGGGGGCGAGGGACAGAAAGAAGGAATTCGTGTCATGGTGAGACGGGGACGAGCCAAGCAAAACGGACACCAGAATACTTGTGCATTTTGGGGAGTACAAAGTACGATCGGCATTCTGCACATTGACCAAGCGATGGACGCGATAAGATCAAGTCCGTGTTCTGCTCTGGTATGGAGCCCAGCAAAACGCAATGGGGCCTCGTATAACACTCGATCGCTGCACACGGTATTCCCGCCCTGTATAGGATGTGCGGTACCAGTGTGGCGAGAGTGTGTTGTGCTTTTCACTCAGCGGCAATCTGTCAGATTCGTACGACTTAAGTTGTCGACGTATACGACGTGCTCCGTATGTACGTAAGATGTCAGAGTCGGCCCGGCAGGGAGAGGAAAAGCGAGTGCTTTGGGCAGGCGTTCCCTCGTGTTGTCATTTACGGGACCCGAAAATAATCTAGACGACCCTCTGGAAGCATTCCTCTTTGAGACAAGGCCAGGCGGACGGAGCATGCCCCCCGCGAGGCCAGACCTGATCGATGCCCACTCCTCAGGTCATGCTTGCACAGGGCTGCGCCCAAGCAATAATGAGGGTGGAGCTTTCGTCAAAGTGTATCGAGGTCTTTTTGAGTTTTCGTCAAATTGTATCGACGTCTGTTTATCTCAGTCTTTGCCCTGACAAGGAACGCCTTGACAAGCTTGACTTTCTGGTACGAAATTGCGTCTTGCCTAGCCATGTTTGTTCCTCGCCAATCTTGCGTATTTTTTTTGTAGTCTTGGCCCTGTGGAGCTGTCAAGGCCAAGGCTGGAGAATAGGAGGCAAACATCGATTATGAACCGAGTGAGGCGCAATGTCTGTTGCGTGCAGAATAAATGCCAAGAGGTAAGACAGGCATGGTTTGGAGGCTGTTCTCAAGGCTGGCTTCAGCCTCCTTACAGCGACGCCCAGCAGGGGCGAGCCTGGCGAACACCGACAGCACTGTGCTGTTTTGTCCTTTTTGTGACAGACAGGCGTTTGGCGTAAGATTATGACTCCAACTGTCGACAGAGTATGGCCATATGTGTGGCAGAGCTGGCGTCAGTTTTGCGAGACAAGGCTGGAAATGGAGCCGGGATCCGTGTGGTGTGGCTCGCCTGGTTCGGTTAGCTCGTCGTGCTTCGTTCTTCCTCGGATCTCTCATGCTTTGGCAGTCCTTTGGCGATATCGAGCATCGTGTCGAAGAATGCACTGCAGCCTTGTTGTCAGTTCAAGGCTGTAGACCAACATGCAGAGAAAAGGCTGCCACTTAACTGGCAGGCAAGAGGGCTGTACACTCAGCGTTACAAGACAGAGAAGGAACGATCGAGGAGAAAGCGCAAAATGAGAGAGGCTGCCAAAATAGGAAATCCGCAAGGGACAGCGAAAGGAGGAACGCCAATGCAGCACGGGCAGGTGCAGACCCGAGTGAGGCGAGGACAATGGGAAAGAGCGCTAGAGCGCTATTGAAGAGAAGCTCGTATATAAACCGGTGATGAATTATGTCAAATATCACAAAGTGCAGAGAGTACGACAGGCCACAGCAGCTGCCAGGTGATCATTATGGGTCATTTGAGAAATGCTGCCCCTTCATGGAGTCGCCAGGTACAAGGGACACAGCGATATTCAGAGAGGGAGGAAAAGAAAACAAAGCTTTTCCTAACTTTGCCTCGCCAGCTCGTGGATCCAGTCGTTTGCGAATAGAGTTTTCGATTTGAGTACAAATTAAGATCCTGCAAATTACGCTCTGCACTGAGGGAGAAACACGACCGCTGGCCGCTGGCCACTGTCGTCCATCTCTGTCGTCTGCGGCGTCTGTCTCACCTCTCTCTGGCTCCCTTTCTGCAGCGTCGCTCCTCCCTTTTGGTCAATTTCCCCTACGGGACTCTTCAGATGAACGGCCCGTTTTTCGATTTCCTTCTACTTTTCGCTTTCACCCATCTCTCTTCTTGGGACGGAGCCTGGTCCCGGAAAGCAGGTGCGGCTGTATTGGCAATGTTTCAGTTGCAATCGACTCATGCAAATCACCCTGTTGCCTTTTTGGGAGACAGGCACACAGGCTACGCTACGGCCCAAGACGCCTCCTGCCTTTTCTGATCACCGTCGCCTGTTGTTCCTTCCCGCCCGTACAGGACCCTAATGACAGGAGACTGGGCCTGGCCGCAATACTAATACGAAGTAATTACTCCGTAATTACACTGCACAAAACAGCCTGTGCTGGTTTGAGTGTCGACATACAACATACTGTTGCCAGTACGACGTAGCCGATGTACTATCGGTGAAACCAGGAGGCGCTGTCACAATCCGCTGTTGGTTCCAAACGGACTTGTCGCCGTCACAGGGCTGGCCATGTGCTCGAACCGACCCTGTTCCGCTGAACCAATTTGCCCAACTTGCTCGACATCTGTTGCATGGCGCCCGTTATGGAAGACACGGCGTATGTTATTCGACTGCGGCACAGCAGTATACTGGGCATCCCTGGTTAAAACGAATGGTAGATAGCCCTGCTGGCAGTGGTCGTTGGTCAAGCAAACCAAAAGCAAGTTGTGTGCGCGCATGTTTTCGGGGTACCTTTCGTACAGCATTATCAATTCAATTCCCTTTTGTGCTCTTTCCCCTCGGCCGTCCTCGGCCATGTAACCCACTCGCTGCGGATTACTCCTCCTCGTGCAGACAGGTTCTTCCGTTTCTATGCGGTCTGTTCCGAGGGATGCAGGGAAGTAGCATTGTTCTTGATGGCTGCCCTGGTGTGCTCCGTAGACTCAGATACGACGTGTGTGCTGCAGCAAGGTGCGGATGAAGTAATACGTCGTAAAACGGGAGCAACAACGCCAAGTTGTTGGCAAACGAACACAAAGGCCGGACTGAAAGGTCCCCTTGGAAGCAGAGACTTTGTGCGTTCACGACCATTGACCTGCAGCACAAACACGCTATGCGCAATCGAGAAACCGACGAGGCATTAATATGTGGCACCGACATGGATGGCCGTCAGCGACCTGTCCCTTGGTTCGTCCGGCGGCGGGAGCTCCCTCCGTCTGTAATGTACTCGACGCCGCACGTTTCATTTTCTTCTCTCCATCATCACGCCAGCTCATCCATTCTCGCCACTGCTGCGGGACCGATCAATGGGTCTCCCGCAGACGTTGAGACGTTGCCCGGAGGTACAGACGCTAGTTCGCTTCCTCTGCAACTGTTTTTGTCATCAGGGTCGTCGACGGCGCTTGCCTTATCTAGTTGTTGCCCACAGACCCTTGTCGTTTTAATGTGTGGCTAGGAAAAAGAAGCTTGAAGAGCCACGGCGAAGAAAGCCGTTCCGTAGCAGCCGCGCAAAAGCCAAAAAAAGGCAAGGCGGACGGCGGGCTGACATACAAGCCGCAGGACTGACTTGTGACAGCACATCAACATCAGCACAACAGACGAGACAAAATGGACAACGTCGTGCTTTGTGTATTGTGTTTGTGTCTGCTGTATATATACGTACGACAAATCTTCAAATCGGAACTGCAGAATGGATTGAGCTGGCATAATTCGCAAACTCGCAAAACTCGCAAAACTCGCACAACTCGCAAAACCCACAGCCATTTTTGCATGTCAGCGTCCGAATCGGGACACAGCACATGCCTATTTGCCCTGCAGGTCACACCTCTGCATTTTCGCGCATCCCACTCGCCTGGCCGGTCTTTTGCTGTTTATTGCAGTCTTTTGCTGCGTCATACGACGTAGTTCACAGTGACTCTTCGCTCAACGACTGCCGGCAAGTCCGTGAGCTGTGGCAGACGGAGTAAATCGTACTCCGTTCACCGCCCCAGTTTACGACGGCTGCTCCTTCGTGACTGCAAGCGTATTTTCTTCCTTGTTCTCCCAATGTTCTCACAGCAGTCCTGCCATGCCGCAAGTCACCCCAACAGGAAGGAGGAACGTTGAAGAGAGGAGAACCAAAGTCATAGGTATCTTAATATACTGCAACGCCGTATGAGTACAAAAGACAGAAATGACAAGGAAGCACCGAGATCATGCGGCCTCGGATGGCCGTGCGTGATTATTGGCCACTTCGACCCTACTTCGGCCCTCTGCTGTTTCGTACCCGTCTATTTGGCAGACATGTCTCTGTTGTCGGACCTTTGCCATTGATTGATCGGCAGGTCGTCTTGGCTGTCTTGTCAAGATCGTTCTTCTCGTTCTTCGGCAACATCTCCTCGCCGCCCTTTTTCCATTCTCAATCTCTCTGCGGCAGTGTCGTTCTTCGTCACGACTGCAGCGCAGCGACCACTGACCATCTTTGCAATTTTCCTCGCTCGACCGCTTCTTCGCCTCTTTTTATGGTTAAACGTTTATCACTCTGTCGTTTGTATGCCAGCCCTGCCCCCTCCCCCCCCTCCCCCCAGTTCCCCGATTCCTTTTCTTGACCTCATGACGCCCACACGTACCCATGTTCTGTGGATTGCTGGCCGCGAGGCAGTGGGAGACAAAATGTGCTGTGCCGCTCGCCCTATGTACCTGTCCCAGGCCGGGCCTATTGGTACTTATACCGTCGCCGTTTCGCCTGCAATTTGACAAGTACCTTATGGGTCCCGCTAGGTACTCTACACGTGCTCCACCCGGCCCGTCGGCTGTCTAACGGGGGCGTGGCCCCGGTCGACCCAGCCAAATAGCTCGTGTGTGCCTCATTCTGCCCACTATGGGCAGGCACGAACGTCGTACTCCGCACCTACTCCATACGAATTACTCAGTATCAAACCGCCCTCTCAACGTCCCCTCTGCTCATCGAATAAATTGCAGTCACGATGGAGTATCTATGGTACCTGGATATTGCCGCTTGATCCATTGTATATTGTGTATATAAATGCTAATTGGAGTGCATGCACATGGTGCGTACAAATGGTGCATACATATGGAGCAGCAAAAGGCAAAAGGGCACACGTCGTGAGCCTTTCGGCTCTCTCAACTCCTCTTTAATTTATGGAGGGTCCCTCGCCTGGGTAGTCTTGCCCACTGCTCCTGCTGTGTTCTCGTCCCTGTTTACAGTTTACAGCCGTCCTTCTTCTTCTCCTCCCACACTTCCGACCATGCGTCGTAGTTTCGTCGGCCTTTCAATAGCGCCTTGTTGCAACGCCCGCTAAGCCCTCTCCAGCCTGGGCCCCCCGGCAACGTACGAATGCGGTAAGTGCAACGTACCGTAATACTGCCCGAAAGTTGCCTTTCTCCCTCCCTCCTTCCTCCTGTCTCGCTCTGCGGACGCCGTTATTCGCTGGCAATGAGCGCCTTTTGCGTCGTACGCTCCTTCCGATAACGTCCAAGATACACTGTTCCACGAACGCCACTAAAGTCTGTCTATGAGTTAGCTACAGCAGATTGTGGCGCTCCTGGAACAGCGTACAGCTCACCCTCTTCCTGTAAGATAGCGTATCTTACACAGTAATCTTACGCCTCTTGCCCACCAACCGCGCTGTAGCCCACACCTTGCCAAAACGCAGCGTTCGTGGTGCCTCTCTTCTAGAGCGCCAACTCGTCTCGTGGCTACTTCGTACAAAGGTCGTATATTGTCTCCTACCGGAATGGGACATATCAATGTGTAGCGGACGCACTGGGCCTTCCTCAGGCGGTGACCGGCCCAGCAGACCCCATCCCGCGCGCCTGCCCTGCCCCTGCTGCGCTTCTTTTCCTCTTCCCATCCGCCCATCGTCCCTGCCCTCCACTTTCTGTACCGAGAAAGACAAAAGTGGGTCACTCTACTTGAGCTAGCGCGCTGTCCTCGTACTCTGCCCATGTACTTTGTACTTTGTACTGTGTATTGCTCCGTGCCTCTTGCGGTGCTGTTTGTGCTGTGTGCTCCATGGGTGGTGTGTGTGTCTCTTGTTGTGTCTCCCACCCTTTCCCTCGCCTAAGCCGGCTTTTCGCCTGGGATCAATCACTGTGCATCTGGCTCGCCTGGCAGCCAGCCCCCATCGCTTGCTAATCGTGCCTTCCCTGGGCCGTTTCGACATCATTCTATTCTTTCCCCCTCCTCACCACCAGCTGTGCATCGTTCCTTCCTGGGAGCAATGCTATGAAACCCAGTCTGGGAAAGCCCTCTCTCTCATTTGCTCGTCTCTGTGCACTCAAATTCTAGTGTTCTTTGCACGCCGTTCCGAGGAAGGCGCCGGTGAGAAAGGGGAAAGTGCCAACCAAAGTCCCCAACTGCCCCTAGAAGGAAAGAGCGCTGCACCAACGACCAACGACCAGTGACCAGTAGCGAACCAGCCCAACAACGTCCTGCCCGAGTCCTCTCGACGACCGCTCGGCTTTCTTCATCACGACTTCCTCTGCTGCTCCTCCACCTCTACTCTCTACTCTCCAACCACCCTCACGACTTTCATGTTGTTTCTCTTCGTACGATTTGCTTCTCGACTCCGCCATACGAGCTCTCTTTCAGCATTCTTCCTACCGTCGACTCGTCTTGACGCCCGCTATTTCTCTGTTCGATCTCCGGTCTCCGCCTAGGCCGCTATTGTCACATTGTCCTCGCTTCCGCACTTCCTCACGTCTTCCTCACTTTCGACCGAACAATCTCTCTCGACAAACTCGTCATAGTAGAGAGGCCCCTTCCTTTCTTATACCTTGCTCAATAGCGAATTCGACTCGTCCTTTGCTCTTCCTGTCCGGCGCATTTTCTGCGAGCTATTGTCTCGATTCCGAATTGGCCACCGCCCTCTCCGTCGTCTACTTTCTTCTACCTCGACCATTTCTCTTTCTCTCCTCCCCCCAACTTCGCCCCTGTCTGTATGCCCGACTTCGAGAGAGACACGACCCTCCTTCCAACCGTCGTTCATTTCCCCCTCACTTTGTGCACCACCCGCGAGACCGACGACAACCATACACAAACCACGTCTCGGAACACAACAACAATTGATACCGCAGCTTCCACCTCTCTGGTTGCTGGTCGGTAGTCGGGATGGCTCTCCAGATTCCCCGTGCCGGCCTCCAGCTGGAGGAGGACTTCACGGGCAACTTTGATCACCTGCCCACGCAGTCCTTCATTCTGGACCTGAGTGACGATGTCGTCGACGGCATGATCGAGTCCGTCAACCAGGGCAACGAGATCCGCCTGTCCCTGGGCAACAAGCCGGTATGCTCCTGCTCTCTCCTTACCTTTTGCAACACCCCCCTCCTCCCCCTCTCGCGTGTGCCTCCTAACAATTTGCAGACGTTCCTGTACGGCAACTCCAGTTACCACATTGAGCCGACGTTTGAAGATGAGACCGACGACATAGAACTGTTCCTCGAGTCCGCCGACACACCGGCCAAAGCCGAGCGCCTTCCCCAGCTCGCCATGTCCCTCTTCCGCAAACCAGAGCTTGGCAACCCATGGGCACACTACCGCAACAGCTCGTCCGAGGACGAGGACGACGACTACTATGAGCTGGGCTCGTCGCCCGAGCCAGAAGACGCCGAACAAGATTCGTACGATGCTCTGAACTCGGACATCGCACTGCTCCGCGACTCCTTAGCACAACGAGAGGCTGAGAAACACGAAAAATCGTACGCGCTGTGCCCTTGTTCGCTCTCGAGCGTGTTTACTCCTTCTTTTTACCTGTTTCTTCCTTTTTTTTTTGCCTTATCCGTTATCCATATGGTATGGTTCGCAGAAACCCAATGTAGCTAACCGTGTCGTGTTGCACCAACAGGACAAGAGTCATTGAAGGAACCGCACCCGCGCCAAACGGCAAATCGACTGCCAAACGTAGCGCCGGCTCCCTGCAGAAGGCACTCTCCGACAGACGGTCACCGTTCAACCGCTCCTCGCTATCGCCATTACCTACCAGCCCAGCTCTCAGCGCTGCTGGCTCCCCGTCTCTTGTTCCCACCGACGCTGCATCACAACAAGCTGCCGAGAGGACAAAACAAGCCCGGTCACCCATTATCCACGAGCTGGCTTTCAAGGAGCAGCCATATGACATGCTGTGGCAGAAGTACCCAGGATCATCTGAGGCCGACTTCAAAAATGCCTTGGACAAGGTCGCCGATCTGGACGAGGAGACGCAGAACTACATTCTTCGCAAGAAGTACTGGAAGGAACTGGATGTCTGGCGGCACGACTATGCCAGCGATGAGGAGCGGCAACAGGCCATCGACAACGCTATCCGCCAGTTCGACAAGATGCGGCTATCCACGACCGAACCCGAATGGGAGCGGCTGCTTCCTCGCGAAGAAAGGGGCCAGGGCCGCATCCTGAGCAAGGTGCAAGTCTCCATCGCCAAGGGTCCGTCGGCACCCAAGATCCGTGTGCAAAAAGCCGACGATTCTGCCGGCGAATCCGGGCACACCAACCACGAATCCGGCGAGAGCGGCAACGGCAGTGGTAGCAACCGCACAGACGAGGAGGGTGTCGATTCCGAGGTCACTCTCTCGCCATCCCGTCACACGACCACAGCTGCTGCTGGAGGCAAGAAGAAGACGTCGGCACGTGAGGCCCAGGAGAAGCGGCTGCTGTCGACCAACAAGAAGAAGAGCCCACCGACGTCCGCCCCAGCACGGTCAACATCGCCTCACGCGACGACGACGACATCGACCAAAGCATCACCCGCAAAGTCGGCCGCAGCGCGTGCCAAGGCCAACGAAAGTACGGGCAAGTTCAAATCCAAGGAGTTTGTGTCCGAGTCGGATACGTCGGACTCGGAGTCGGAATCTGCGCCCCTCGCATCGACGGTTCACCAAAACCACCACCACCAGTCGAAGCTCGGTGGTACGACAAGCAGCAGCAAACCTTTGGCACCTGCATCGGCCAAGGCTGCGTCGACCAAGGCCGCCTCGTCCACACCACCCGTCTCTAGGGAACGGGCATCCTCTGCAACGACTGCTCCTGTGCGCAAGACGAAGCCTTCGCCTGTCAAGGAGCCCGCAAAGACACTGCTTCCACCGAAGCCACCATTAAAGAAGCGTGCTCGCGACTACGACGATGACGATAGCAGCAGCTCCTCGAGTTCTGGCACGCCTCTCAGCAAGCGCATCAAGCCCCTCAAGTCGGCACCCAAGGCTTCGTCTCTACGGGATGCACGAGACGCGCGTGATGCTCGTGATGCTCGTGATGCTCGTGACGGTCGGGAGGCACGGGCAAAGCCTCGACTGTCGGCACAGCCAGCTGCGCGCAACTCAAATGCTAGCCCCAACGGAAGCAGCAGTAGCAGCAGCAGTGGCGGTGGCGGCGGTGGCGGTAGCAATGGCAACAACAGAGACGGCAGCAGCAACTCCACATCGAGCAAGGCCAAGAACACGTCGCCGGTCAAGTCGTCTCCGCTGGCATCATCGCCTCCTACGAATGCCTCTGAGCTAGACCTCTCATCCGAAGACAGTGTACCACCTATTGGTACCACCAACACCATGCGGAAGCGCAAGATGGCCGACGACCACCGCAGCAGTCTCCTGACGACGGAGGCTTCACCGAACAGCGGCAAAGTCAAGAAGCGGCGGAACCTGCCTGACGACCTGGTCGATAAGGCTCTGCGGTTCAAGGTGTACTACGAAAAGTATGAGGCCCTGTACCGTGACATTTCCGATCGCCGTAACCCACCCAAGGACAGTGTTGCCGAGCTTCTCAAGATGCACGCGCGCTTGCAAGAAATGAAGAACGACATACACAACGAGGCAATGATGCGCGCTTGAACGCAACATGGCTCCTCGCGAATGAGAACGAAAACAGTTTGAAGAAAGAAAAAGGGAAGACTTGCATACAATGGACGAGGTCCATTTTTTATGATACCAGAGGAAAAAAACAGGACAAGCACCAGACAGTTGGAGTTTTGTTTCTTTTTTTTTCTTTTTTTTTTTCAATTCCATTTGACATGTTTGCAATTTTTGCATTTTCACTTTTGCATTTACACACGCCCGCTACGAGGCGAAGCGGCACAATATCTCGCAATACACATCACCCACGGTTTCTTGGTTGTTTTGTTTCGAAAACAGAAACAAAAAGAAGACGGGTCTTTGTTTTCGCATCTGCATTGCTTTGTACTCTCTTTGCTGTTTTCCTGTATCTTTGCGTCCATTCGGCAAAGTGGACGCCGTGGTGTTTTTATTTTGAGGACAGGGCTCTGCCTTTCCCCTGTTGCTCGCCTTCCATCTACAGCAAAAGAGACCAATGCTCTCCTTGTCTTGATGTCTGATGTACTTCTTTTGCCATCTTTGTGTCTTTTAGCAGACTCCCCATTTGCATTTTGCATGTTGTTTGTGTTCTTTCCACAAACAGAACGAGTCTATGCCGTGATACCATTAATAGACACCCGAATTTTTCACGTGGTGATACCTACGAAATAACTAACGTTTTTCATGATGATTTTCCAAGTCCAAGGAGGTAGCTTCTGAGATCGATTCATATCTTCATAATTGTGTATATAAAAACAGCCAAACGTAAGAGTAACAATATCCGAAGACCGAGACAACAATAAGAAATAGATCTGGCGGCAAGGAATGGGCTGGGACAACGGGTCCCATAGATGGTTTATGTGATGGCGTGCACTCGTTCGCATATGACCAAGCCGTTTCGTCCTTTCCTCCAAGGTGCACATGGCAAGGCGTACATTGGATGGAATGCGCTGCACATTGGGCACGTTCATTCCACGTGTCGCGGCATTCCTTTTGTTGATGCACTGGTCGTAGCCACAGCCATCTACTGCGTCTTGAAGAGCAGGATCGCGCAGTGGCCGAGGTAAAAGTACACAAAGTGCTTCGTTTCTATGAGGGCCGGCCGTCTGTCAGTTTCGCGTTCAAGTTCAAGGGACGCCCTTGGCGACACGTGAAGGCGGCGTCTCTTACCGTGCGTCACAAAGCTGCCAAAGTTGCGGCCCACGATGCAGTGCCAAGTCGGTCCCTTGCGGTCGTCAAACTAAAAAAAAAACCAAAAAAACCGCAGAGGTCAGTCCGCGATGTCGGTGTCGGGGGTCTGGGACAGTGACGCAACGTACAGTCTTCTTGATGTGCTTGGCAATGTCCTTCTCGACGGTGAACTTGGCCATCGCTTCTTGGGCTGTCGTAGCAAGCAATATGTCAGCCGGGGCCCGCCTCCATCTTAAAAATTACAACGGCAGCTGACTCCCATAGCAACTTACCAACTTCGACCGCCTCCGCCTGCATCTCTTCTGTCTGTTCCGCTTAGCTGTCCTGCATGCCTATTGTGGGAGGTGGCGGCGACGTATTTCTCCTACCATGTCTGCAGACTTGACTTGGGCTGCACATCGACACTCTCGTTAGCATACATTGCGTGTCGCGTACGCCAAGCGGCATGGCCCCCTGGGGTCCCGGGCTCACCCTCCAGCTTCTCCCGCGTCAGCTGCGCGGTCTCGGTGGCGTTCGCTTCGGTAGCCATGTTTGCGCTCGTGTGTATCGTCTCTCGTTTGAAGTCGTCGGGTGGTGTCGGAACCGAGATCGTGGAAGACCAGTCAGCGGTGGACTGTACATAAGGAGATTGTAGGTCAGCACTTTTGTTTCTCCTCGGACCTTGTCGTACACCACCCTCCCTCGCCGCCAGTCACGGTCCACGGCACTCCCGACCTGGCTGCGGTAGTCCGATGATACCCCGACACGGCTGAGCTTCGTCGTGTGACGTCTTCCTCTCTTCGGCGGGTCTAGGCGAGAAAAGCGACAGCAAAAGCAAGGAATGCGGCAACAATGGCTTCCAAGCTTGGACCGGTCGCGTCTCGTTTGTCGCCCGTCCAGCTGTAGCCGAAACGGAAGAAGAGAATCCTCGCGAAGTGCACGGCCAATTGTAGAACGGGAAGGGGAAGCGGTGCCGAGCGTGCACTTACTTGGCTGTTTCGTTTGTTCGGGAGGGAATTGCGGTAAAGGGAGGAGGACAGAGAATTGCGTTTGTCGGACTCGAGGTCGTCGTGGCGTCTGGGACAAGAGGTCGTCGCGATTGTCTTGCGCACGATGGTCGAGAAATCACAATGCGAGTGAATAGGGGAGCTCGCAACAGAAACAACAAACAGGGGAGGGGCACGCATCAGTGAGAGCCGGCAACCTCGCACCGTAATTACAGGGGGAGGGGGAGGGTGGCTGCCCTGAGGCTCGAAAGGGCTGGCGGGCGAAGAGTGCCGTGCTGTCCCCTGGCTTAGTGGCAAGGTCCCCTGTGGAGGGCCTGTTCGCGCGCTGGAACGCGTGAAACGGCGCTGTTGGCGCTGATCCTTAGCGCATATCACTTTCCGGGTTAGACGGAGGAAGCATGAGCAGCTACTAAACAAATACATTCTATTGGTCGATATTCGGAAGGGGCCCACTAATGTCGATAAGATAAGACTTTTTTTTTGGCAGCAGAAAAAAGTCACGGATTCGCGCAATTTTCTCTTCACCACTTTTCACACTTACTTTTCTTCCGCTCTCAAGTCTTTCTCTCCATTCCCCCCTTTCTGGCATACTGTGGCTCCCGACTCAAATGTAGATGCCACGATGCCCTCTGCCATACCCACAGACACCATGGAATCCTCATTTCCAAGAAAGGAGGCGGCGGCCGCGGGCTCGAATTCACCACCAGACGACGCCTCGGTCGAAGAGTCTTCTCGGGTCTTCGTCAAGAACCTTCCTCCCAACATCACCGATGACCAGCTCCGGAAGCACTTCTCGGGCGGTGGCCGCCACATTACCGACCTGAAGCTGATTGCCCGTCGCCGGATTGCCTTTATTGGCTACCGCTCGGCTGACGAGGCCAAGGCTGCCGTCCGCTACTTCAACCGCTCCTTCATCCGCATGTCGAAGCTGTCGGTCGAGCTGGCCAAGCCCATCACGGACCCGACTCTGCCGACGGCCTATAAGATGCAGCGGCTGCATGACCTTCACAACCCGGCGGCAGCTGAGCCGGCCGCACCAGCACCGCCGGCAGACGACGAGGCAGCCTCGAAGAAGCGGAAGCGAGAGGATCTGGATGTGGCGAGCAACCCTAAGCTGCGGGAGTTCCTCGACGTCATGAGCACACAAAATAGGGGGTTAAGCAGTACAGCCGACGTCACGTCTGCCATGGGTGCTGGAGCCTTTGGTGTTGCTGGCGAGGCAGCCGTTCCGGAGGCAATTTTGGACGCCGAGGAGAGCGAGAACGAGGACGAATACCAGTCCATATCGACCAAGAAGGCCAAGACGACAAAAGACGAGGAGGGCGAAGGCACACCAGCAGCACCAGCACCATCAGAGCCAGCGGCAGAAGCTGGTCGGCCTTCCAGGGTGGCTGCCATTACAGCCACGTCCATCGAAGAAGAGGAGGCAAGGCCGACGCCATCTGCACCAGAGCCGACCCCAACGCCACTGCAGCCCAAGCTGGATTCTTCAGCAACAGACGATGACTGGCTGCGGTCACGTACCAACCGGTTGCTCGACCTGCTCGACCCGAGCGAGTTGCCCGCACCATCACAACCTGTTGCGGCGCCTGCTTTCCCGACCGCTTTCCCGGCTGCTACCAAGAAGGACGACGAGGAAATGCCTGACGCAAATAACGAGCACGACAATGCAAATGATGATTACGAGAACCCGATTCGGAGACTAGCACCAGCTGCAGCACCAGCAGCACCAGCAGCCACCACCGCCGCCCCTACCCCTGCACCACCAGTTGTACCTCTGCCTGCAGAAGAGCAGATTCGCAAGACATCCCGATTGTTTGTCCGCAACCTGCCGTACGACGCTACGGAGGCCCAGATCCAGAAATACTTTACAGCCTTTGGTACCGTTCAAGAGGTGAGTCTTTGACATCATTTGTCTCTTTTACAGCGTTTTACGCAAAGCAACCCATTTTCAATGATGAACCCCAGATAGGGACAACTTATGCCAATGGCATGTGATGAGATCCTTGGGCCGAGAATTTTAGTAGATGCCTCGTGGTCTGATACCAATGTATTGTGCTTATGCAGTACTTGGGCTTGATGGGTTGCTTCGCTTATTTTAGAAAAAAAAAAAAAAAAAAAAAAAAAAAAAAAAAAAAAAAAGGAAACGAGCAACAGATGGCTAACCAGCGGGTGTCCACGTTGTCGTCTTCAGGTCCAACTCCCAGTCACAAATTCAGGCGTCAACAAGGGCTACGCCATGGTCCTTTTTGCCAGCCCGGACGTCGCCCTCGCCGCTTTCCATAACACCGATGGCAAGACCTTCCAGGGTCGGATCCTGCATGTGCTCCCTGCAAAGGCCAAGAAGACGGCTGGTTCAGCTGCCGAGCTGGACGAGTTTGCTCTGGCAAAACTGCCGCTCAAGCAGCAGCGGCTTCTGCGGAAAAAGGCAGACGCGGCGACGAGCAGCTTCTCGTGGAATGCCCTGTTTATGACGCAGGACGCCGTGAACTCGGCCATGGCAGAGCGGCTGGGCGTGTCCAAGTCGGAGATGCTCGACCCGACGTCGTCGGACGAGGCCGTGCGCCAGGCCGTGCGCCAGACGTCCATTATTGAAGAGACCAAAGACTACTTTGAGAGCAACGGTGTGGACCTCGAGGCGTTTAAGCCCAACACAAAGCGTGGCGATTCATGCATTCTCGTAAAGAACTTTGCGCACGGCACGGCCTCGCAGGAGCTACGCAAGATGTTTGAGGAGTACGGTCCCGTCGTGCGGGTCCTGATGCCGCCCAGCGGCACACTGGCCATTGTGCAATTTGCGCAGGCCGCCCATGGCCGGCTGGCCTACGCGAAGCTGGCCTACCGCCGTGTCAACGAGACGGTCCTCATGCTCGAGAAGTGCCCCGACAACCTGCTGAGCAACAGCGCCAGCGGCGTCCTGGACACGACGGCAGCCACGGCCGGCCAGGCGGGCAAGACCAAGCTGGTCGCCAGCGACCTGCTCGACGGAAGCCAGGCCGAAGACGCTGCTGGCGACGAGACTACTGGCGAGGCGGCGGCCGCAGGGTCCAAGCAGACCAGCTCTCTGTTTGTGCGCAACCTCAACTTTACCACGACCACGGAGCAGCTGGCGGCGCTGTTTTCGCCGCTGCAGGGCTTTGTGGCGGCGCGTGTCAAGACCAAGCCGGACCCCAAGCGGCCCGGGCAGACGCTCAGCATGGGCTACGGCTTTGTCGAGTTCCGCACCAAGGCGGACGCGGCGGGCGCGTGCGCGACGATGGACGGCCACATCCTGCACGGGCACACGCTGGCCGTCAAGGCGTCGCACCGCGGCCTGCAGGACGCGGCGGCGGCGCAGCGCGAGGCCGACCAGGCGAAGAAGCTGGCGGCCAACCGCGGCGGCAAGCTGATTATCAAGAACATTCCCTTTGAGGCGTCCCGTTCGGACCTGCGGACGCTGCTGGGCACGTACGGCCAGCTCAAGGCGGTCCGGATGCCCAAGAAGTTTGGCAGCGCGACGCGCGGGTACGCGTTTGCCGAGTTTGTGACGGCGCGCGAAGCGGCCGCCGCCATGACGGCGCTGCGCAACACGCACCTGCTGGGCCGGCGCCTGGTGATTGAGTTTGCCGAGGCAGAGGCGGTGGACGCGGAAGGGGAGATTGCCAAGATGCAGAAGAAGGTGGGCTCGCAGATGGACTCGGTGGCGATGCAGCAGCTGGCGACGAGCCGCAGCCACCGGACCAAGGTGACCATTGGCGACGAAGAGGAGGAGCAGCTGTGAGAAGCGAGACCCGCGGCATCTGCGCTTTCTCAACAAACCGGCTTTTCGTCTTTTTTTTTTTGAACTGGTCTTGGGTTTCGTTCAGGAATGGAGTTTTATGAGGGTTCGAATGACGAACAATCAAGGGATAGCATTTTGCAGGCGTTATGTCCTATTCTTTTTAATTTGTTGAATACAACACTTCCCCTGGGCCGATTGTTCCCTGCATATACCTGCGTGGAAGTGGGTGTGGTTCTTGTGCCTTGTCCGAAGAGAGATACGATCGTGATCAGTGTCGATTCCCTCTTCATAGAGAGAGAGCGCGCGCGCACGCTACACACCTTGCGCCTGCTGCCTTCCTTGTTCGGATGCCCTGACGATCTCCGTCCCTTCCCTGGGTTAAAAAGTGGGGGTGTGAACGCGGAAAGGGCTAGAGCGAGCAGCCACGGCAGGCGCCACCCAGGCGGACAGCGGAAAGGGGCGACGTATCACTATTTCATATAAAGGGAGCAACACGCAATGTAAGGCCGGGCGATGTGAGTTGCGCGAGGGATTCTTTAGTCGTTCTCCACAGCCAGGCGATGAAGAAGCATAGAAACAGGGGGTTGCTTTTTACTCCTGAAGACCGCTGTAGATGCAAGGTCTTGATGGAGAAAATGGGATGTAAAAAGCGAGAGTAAGAACTAGAAAGTGCTATAGAAAACGAGAATAAAAACAGTCCGATCATCGCAAAGAAATAGACGTGCCGGCCATCAGTCGGCCAAAACTGGTGCCTTCATCCGGTACCATCCTCACCGCAGCAGTATTCGGCCGTTGTCTACATCTTGAACCACTCGTGCGTCACCGCGCCCTCGGCACTTATGCGCTTGTCCGGGTCGTACTGGAACAGCTTGTACAGAAGATCCGCCATCAGCTTCTGTTCTGCCTGCGGTGTGGTCATGCTTGTCCACCGTATGTAGCTGCTGTCCTGCTGGAACGTGGGTGACTGCACAGTATCACTCGACTGGCCGAGTAGCCACTCAAGGGACCGGTCCTCGTTCTCTCGAATCCACGTCCCCTGCTCGTCAAAATACTCTGCCCGACGCTCCCACGCGTCCCACCACTGGGCAGGAAGTTTGCCAAAGTAACGTACCATTTCAGCAACGAGATCATCTGGGTCATGAATCATGTGAAAGAGCGCAGTCTGTTGCCGTATCTCAAAGAGCGTGCACCCGAGAGCCCAAAGGTCGCAGGCTGGACCGATGGCCACTCGTTCCTCTTTTGGATTGTCCATGTTGTTGTCCACGTCCTCGTCTTTTTTATTGTTTTTTCTCGTATCCTCCTCGTTATTATCGTCATCGTTGTCGTAGTTATAGACATTGTAATCGCCTATATCGTCATCCCCATAGCCATTTTTCTCGTCTCGTAACAGTTGAAGCAGTACCTCGGGCGACAGATACATTTCTGGAATGCACGAGACGTCTGGGGGGTTTGATATACGAAAGGATTCGCCAAAGTCAATGACGCAGATCTGATCTGTCAGGTAGTCGTCGCCTAGACGGGAGAGGTCGATTGCAGGCGTCAGATATCGCGGCGACGAGACAGGGAGGTCATCACCCGACTCTGTCACTACGTTGACCAACTTCGGCTCGCCGAAGCGTGACAACAGTTCTTCCTCGGACATATAATCGAGGCTGTTCAGTTTGACTAAGATGTTGGCTGGCCGAAAGTCTAAAACGAAAGGAGTGAACTAGGTGAATTTTATAATTTTTTTTTAAAAAAAACACAAGTTCGGCGAGGGATCTTATATCCTTACCTCCGTGACAGATGCCGTTTGTGTGTAGGAAGTTTATGGCTTTTACAGCCTGATAGGCCATTTTCCGGAGGACAGGCCCCGGCTCGTCCTTCAGCCGCACCCACAAGTCAGGCGAGACGCAAGGCCCGAGAAGGGGGAGCACGATGCACTGATGTGTTCCGTTGGGGCCTGTGATTGAGAAGGTATCCAGTGGAAAGGCAATATGGTCGGAACCGGGTACCGACGACCGATCCAGGCCCGCCAAGATGGTCAGGTCCGAGATCTCGTCCTCCGCCTTGACCATTGCAATGGTCACCTTGACAGCGACATAGCCAGCGCAGCCATCGCGCGTGTCTCGACAAAGCCAAACAGTGCCGTACCCCCCGTGGCCGAGCTTACGAAGGACACGATAAGACGTACCGAGGGTGTCACCAAGATGGATTGGATGGAACCCGCCCTCTTTGTAGTCTTCTAGGGGTTCAAGGTCCGTGCCGGGTCCTGCGAGACACGTACCGTTGGTCGTGGCACGTCCATGATCGAGAGGTTCGTCATGGTAGTCAAAAGAAGCGTCGCTCGGAAAGACCTCGTATATGGGGACTGGGGACTGGGACACTCGTTTGTTCGGCATTGTGCTTGAAGGGTCTGTGGATGCTGTGGACAGTGCAGCGCATCGCAGAGCGGGAGGGCGGCTGACAAGGAGAGCGAATCAGGAACCGGTCTCTGTGGCAGCGGCACGCGAACTGGTTTGGACGACAAGGCCGAGCTCGGGCCACGCAAGGCTCCGTCCGTCTACGTCGCTTTCGGCCAGGCCAACCCACGATCCTGCCGTCAAATGTAAGCCTGTGTTGGCGATGTGGCCTCGATGCAGAGGACTTACACCATCCTCAACGACACGATCTAGCCCATCCTGGAAGGAAAAAGAAAAGTCGATAAAGATCAGAGATAATCGACGCCAGAATAAAGCAAGGACAGAGAAAGCCAAGGCACCAAGGTGCTCGATGTGGAAGTGCCTGCATATAAATGTCGTAATACAGTGGGCTTTAGCGGGCCAGGGCCTGTCAGTAGCGCTCGAGCCAGAAAGGTACGCCGCAAGGGCATGTAAGATGCGTCTGCGAACTGGGCGCGTCTCGCTCTGTCTCTCCACTCAGCAACCTCCCTTTCTTCACGACATCCCAGCCTGCAAACGAACTGACACAACGTTTGTGTCATGCGTGAAGAAAACGAGACGAAGAACCGCCAGGCCAGGCCCCCACATCTAATCTACGACATCCCTTCATCGCGGCGGCCGTCGTTTGTGCCCGTTTTATGCCGTTTGCCGTTTGCCGTATGCCGTATGCAGTCCTTGTTGTCGTTGCAAAGCCGCCGACGGTGGGCCGGTGCGTGTACTTTATATATGCACGTCGCTCTGGCAAACACGTCACGCGGGTTAGCTCGCAGCATGCTGGCCATTCGTGTTGTGGTTGGAGACACACTGGCATTCGTTTTTGATTGTTTTTGAATTCCTCACCTCCCGCATTTTGCATTCCGACGCGGTCAGTGCTGGGCAACAGTCAACAAGCAAGCACTCCAGGCACTGGCCGACCTGCTTGCCACAAACACGCCGTAGATCGTATGCGCATTATCAGTTCCGAGGCCCAGGTCTGCCGACAAGACGACGGGCGGGAGAGCAGCGCAAAGATGTGCTGCCTTTTTCTTGGCGCCTTTTGGCGCGCTGTGGATCTCTGCTGTCGTGCGCTCCTGCTCCGTTCGAAAGAAGGGCGACTGCAGGGAGAGCCACTGCCAGCAAGGCCAGCTCACCTTCCCCACACGACTCGCCTACTCGCCCGTCTTTCTTTCCTTTCCGGTTTCTTCTTCTTTACCGCTCTTTCCAGTCTTGTTGCGCGTCTGCAAGTCATTGCCGCCGCCTCGCCCCCGCGCTTTCCTTGCCGACGCCCCGCGACAGCATCACGCCCGAAACCTGATATTCAGGAACACGGCTTTACACGCCCCCTCCTCCCTCAAGACCATTCCCCAATCTCATCTCTTTGCATGCCAGTATGGTCCTTTCTGCTCGTGTTCAGGCTCTTCGTGCCCTCTTGTTAGCTTGGCTTGCCAAATACCTGGCGCTCAAAGCGTCGTCGTGAAGAATGCACATGTCTCGTGGGAAATCATCTCATCAAGCGTCAAGAAAATCCGGACGAAAGAGAGACGAGATGACGCGGTGGCGGACTGACGAGAGGGGTTTCTCATTGTTCTCGAGTGAGAAACAGTGCCTGCTCTTGCAGCCAAGAACAGCAAGGCCGTGATCACATCTCGCGGCCGCACGCCTCACGCCTCACGCCTCACGCCTCACGGCACAACGTTATCGCCTCCGATGCTTGCTACATCGTCAGCGGGTTTCCTGGTTTACAGAAAGCTCGGAAACGCGTAACCCCCGCCTGCGCGAGAAAGCTCTCAGCTGTCCGCACACCACCTCTCTCTTTAAACGCGCCTGTCAAACTCTCCCTGGCCCAGCCTAGAGTGCGAGCCACGCCAGGGGCTGAGGATGCCCCATCGAGCCTTCCTGGCCTTGAAGAAAAAGGCTCTTTCCCACTTGAGCGCTCCGGTGCCTCTTTCCTGCCCTTGTGTTCAGCCCTCCCTTTGTGCAATTAATGCATCCGCCCTTTTTGTCGCCCTTCCCCCCCTTCATCCACTTCATCCACTTCACTACTTCGTCCACTTCGGTACCTGTGTCACGCCCACGACTCACTCGACACTCTGCACAGCGACGCCACACTATGCCCATCGACGTCTGCTCGTCCAGTTGCACTCCTCCCCTTCGGCGCCTCAGACAGCCAGACAGCTTGGCTAGTGTCTCTGTTTCTGTTCCCTCGTCCCCAGGGACAGGACAAGACAAAAGAAGCAGCCAAAGGAGACTGGAGAACCCACTTTGGCCTCTGTTCGTCTGTCCTCCGCGTCCTTTTTCGTCCTTCTCCCCCACCGGAGTCTACAACAACGGCCCCATCGTGCTTCTCCCCTCATCGGACCACTGGTCGCTGGCCCTCCCCTCCCTCTCCCTCCTCACCAAGGAGACGGCGAAGAGTGGGCTCGTTTGATGAAGAGCTCTGAAGCCAGGCGGGCTCCTCTCTCCCTCCCGCCTGCCTTTGCTACGGGTACGTTCTCTGGTACCTTCTCTGGCACGTTCTCTTGCTGGGCTGCCGAGTACACGCAATACACCCGGCAAGAATCCCCGGTGAGCATCCATCCACTTGTAAGGAGACCGGTTCCCTTGACCACGGTCCTTTTTGGAGGGGCAAGGCCGGACCTGGCCTCCCTTCCTGAACCTCCTTGATACGCCGTCTCCATTGGATTGGCTAGATGCGTGTGTTTCCGTCCGTGTTCTTCGACTGGGCGAGCCGTATGCGCAAGTCTCTTCGCATACACGCTCGCTCTCACACTCTCACACCCCCTCCTCCTGCTCTTCCTCCCTACGAACACCATCAAATCTCCTGTACTGGCACGCGGGCGCGAGGAATGGAGGGCTGCATTCTTCAGACCGCGAGACCGTCAAAACGCGTTGGCATCTCCGAGTGTCCCATTCTCGTCTCTTATAAGGCATGACGAGGTCCGCTCGTTCTTCGTTGTTGGCATGGCTTGACAATCCAAGCTTCTCTCTCCTTTCCTCCTCTCGCCTGCTCTCCGTCCCTCGTCCATTCTTTTGCACAGGAAATTCCCTTGCAGCCATTCTTTTTCCAAACAGAGGGGCATACATTCATTCTCAGCGTCCTTTTTTTTGCTTTCGTCGTTTTACACGGCATCACTTTCCTTGATACGGCTCTCTTTTGCACTTTGTTTTGCATTTTTCATACGCTCGTTAGTCTTGTCCTCATTCTCCTTGAGAAAACAGACGTTTGACATACACACATCTCCATTGTCCTCGACTGTGTCTTTCTTTGTTCTTCAACAAAGCCTCCTCGTTCCTCCGTGCCCCTGCTTTTCAACAGGCATCTACCTTGTCTAGCATGTCCACAATTGCCTGAGTCTCTTTCGTACTTTTCGCCTCGCATTCCAAAACGGCTCGTCTCGACTTTTTTCTGTCGTTTCGGTCTACGAATCTTCGCCATTCTCTGTTCAGTGTAAATGCTCCGAGCCATGGAGGTCTCTATGCCCGTGCTGCCTTCACAGCATACCGACTACGCCGACGCTTCGGCCGTCGCCGCCGTTCGCCACCATCGTCTTCCCCTTCAGGAATCCACTGGCAATGTGCAACCCCATGCCAGCGGCCCCAACAGTGCCAGCAACAGCAACCCGGCCTCGGGCTACTGCTCTCCAGTCACCGCCGTGCCAGCCGTCGTCTCATCGGCCGCACCCACATCGCTGCCGCTTGTCTCATGCACGCCAGCCTCTGCCACGCCCACACCTTCCATTCCCACGCCTCCCATTGTGCCTACGCAGTCGCTTGACCGCCAGCAGCAGAATGCCTACCACCACAGCCAGCAGCAGCACCAGCACCAGCAGCAGAACCTGTACTCGGCAGGGTCCCTGGCCAAGCCTCTCTACCAGCAACCATCACAACACCATCACAACGAGCAGCAGCAGCTTCTGGCAAGACGCCAGTCGGCTGTCCGCCATCACAATGCGAGCAGCCTCGCAGGCCTGACCGGCCCCCTGGCGGGCAACAGCCTGCTCAGCAACACCTATGGCCATCCTGGTATCCACTCAGTGACGGGTGGCGCCTCCAACAACACCGTCCTTGCGCTGCAGGTGGCCGCAGCGGCTCAGACCAACACGGATGTCAACCCCATCTACCTGTCGCCGCAGTTTCAGGCCTACCGCAAGAAGCAGGGTGAGAAGGACGACAAGACCGAGCAGATCTGGCCGGACGTCCTGGAGGATGCCTTCCTCGACGCTCTTCTGCTGATCCCGCAGATGGGCCGCAAGAAGTATGCTATGCGCGGCCAGCTGCATGGTCGCAACATGCTCATCAGCGAGTACCTGTGGGTCGCCTACTGCCTGTCGCTGCCGCCTGGCGCGAAGCCCGACCGCAAGATGGCCCGTGGCCGCAAGCAGGTCTCCAGCCACATTCAGGTGCTCAAGAACTTTTTCATCCACCATCGGTGCTGTACGTTTGTCAACACACTACCTACCTAATACTGATTTTTAGCCCCGGCCCAGCTGCTAACAACCCAGACCACTTTTTCTTCCCCAGCAAGGAAAAGAAGGAGGACAGCCGCAAGGACGTTGTCGAGAAGGAGTCCTTCAAGGACAACCCGGTCCTGCGCGCTCTCTTTGAGGGACGCCTGCCCGACGAGCGGCCCAACTACGAGTACTTTGGCCAGCTGCTGGCGTCTGATGCCCTCGTGGCGGTCCGCCCCAGCCTCTGCTGGATTCTCGTGTCTTCGTCCGCCGTCCGCTTCGAGAGCGAGGGCCACCGCCGCGGCGAGGCCTTCAAGAGCGATGGTCTGCCCCTCGACGGCCGCATGTACCCGCACCTCGGTCTCAACCTCAAGCGTGAGGAGTGGCCCGAGCGTGGCAAGATCATCCGCGGCACCCTGCTGCAGGAGTACACGCGCGCTCTCAGCCAGAAGGAGGCCAGCTCCGTCCGCGAGGTCTCCCAGGACTGGGAGGAGCGCTTCCCCGGTCCCATGATGGATGCCCTGGACGGCATTGTGCGCGACGACCTGCGCGACATTCTGCACTTCCACGTCACCCTCGACGTCCAGGAGCCTGACCGGTTCCCCGAGGGCTCTGAGCTGAACAGCCTCGTCGAGGTCACCATTGAGCAGCCCAACCTCCAGAACCACCGCTGGAAGTCGGTGACCCGCCTGGCTCGCCCCTGGGAGCTGATGCCGAGCGGTGCCACCGCCGACGAGGGCACCAACGATGCCGACCAGGTCCCCGTCTCGGTCATCACGCGCGAGATTGGTAACCAGTACATGCACCGCCCTGGCTGCCACGGCGTTGGCAACGGCGGCCACTGCGACTGCTTCCACGGCTCGCGCCTGCGCCGCCAGCAGCTGGCCGTGCCCTTCCCGGCTCCCGAATGGGCCACCATGCTGAGCATGCTCACCGGCTACCGCAAGCATCCGCTGGAGCCCGAGAACGGCAGCGACGGCTCGGAGATGTACACCACGACCCAGCGCGCCAGCTCCATCAAGAAGAGCAGCAGCAGCAGCAGCAAGCGGTCCTCGTTCGGGTCGACCACGACGACCACGACGACCACCACCACCTCACGCCGCCATAGCAACGATGCTGGTGACGAGACGGGCGATGATAGCTTCGTGTCGACCTCATCCTCGGGCAGCAACGGCAGCAGTGGTGCGCCTCCCACGCAGATGGACCTGGTCCGCAACATTGCCATGCTCCAGGAGCTGTGGTCGTGCGGTCCTTCGTCGGCCACGACCACCTCGTCGCCGCCAAACGATGGCGCCGCCGATGGACAGACCTGGACGCGCCGCGCTGTGATCCTGTGGACCTTTGAGACGATCTACAGTGTTAACGAAAAGAAGATGGAGGTGGTTAAGAGCCCCGCGGGCACTGGCTGGCGCTTCCTGACGACCATTGACCCCACGTCGCAGTTCCACCAACAGCAGGCTCTCGTGACGCCGGCCATCAAGGCTCAACAGCAGCAGCAGCAGCAGCAGCAGCAGCAGCAGGCAGCGATACAGCAGGCCCAGGCCCAGGCCCGGTACCAGCCGCAGATGCACACACCGGCACACCACCAGCAGATGGGCTACCCCACGAGCCGCGACAACATCATGTCGCCGCACCCGGGCTACCAGCAGCATCTCAACGCCGCTATGAGCGAGCATCTAAGCGGCGCGGCCTGGGATCCCACCATGGCAGCGGCTGTGGCTGCAGCCACCGGCTACAGCAGCATGTCGACCACGACTGCCACTGGCTACAACCCCGCGGCTCCTGCTGGAACCGTCTACCGCCAGCACCACTCGCTGTCGCCGCAGGCACCGCAGCCCTATGGCGTGCCGTCGCCTCTCAACCTGCTGGACACGTCGGCCGCAGCCTATAGTGCCGGCCTGACCACGCCGCCACCCACAGCCTCTCTCCCTTCGCCCTACGACCACCACCAGCAGCCGTCGTCGGCCGCCAACGTGGGTGCGTCCAACAACGGTGGCAACAACCCCTACACCCACCACCCGCAGGGATTTCAGAGCCAGCTGAGCTTCATGTCGGCAGGCTCGACGGCCTCGGGTAGCTCGCCCGGTGCGGAAAACCACCACCACAGCCAGCACAACACCCACCGCGCTCAGCACCATCAGCAGTCGGTCCAAATTGACCCGTTCCTGGCTGGCGGCGGCGGTGGTGGTGGTACGTCCGGTGTTCACCAGCACCACCAGACGACGGGCGGTGCCAGTGAGCTGCCCGACTGGGACGCCAACGACATGACGTCTGCGCTCGAGGGTTGGCCGGCGGTGAACGGTGCGCCTACCTCGACCACGACCTCCACAGCACCGCAAAACCGCGGCCAGAAGCGTGGCCGGTCCGACAGCCTCGACGGCGGCAACGGCGGCTTCCCTGCGGCGTCCATGCCGAAGCTCAACCACAACGGCTTCAACAACTGGCGGTAATGAACATGATGCGGATAGGAAACGAACAACAGCAAAAAAACTAATATGAACTCATGTGGGATTTGTTTTCTTTTTGGTGGTTTTTAGGGTTCCTTTTCTGGATTGCACTTTGCTTTTTGGTCTATTATTTGTTGGTCAGGATTTGCTAGCTCTTTTACTTTTGTGACTTTCTGTTTTGCCGTTTTCCTTCTTCACTTCTACTCTTCCTCATTTTGTGCCTTTATTTTTGATACTCTCTATGCAACTATGCAGCAACCTGGCCATCTTTTAATCATTTACAATACAAGATCTTCCATAAAACCTACTTGTACGCAGCAATTCCTTCCGCGTCATTCATTCCCGCTGTGCTGATCTACTGATCGCGCCACAGGGCTAGCAAAGTCCCGCATGGAGGAAACGATATGTGGTGACGAAACATGAAACAAAAGAGACGACGATGCTCTCCAGGATTGTTTCCCAGACCCACTACTGAAGAAGAATGCGACGACACGTCCCTCTCTGTTTTATTGCCTTCATTTCTCAATGAAAAGCAAAGCTTCGCTGCGATTCCGTCCCTTGGGCACTTCTCTTTCCCGTTCGTTGAGTTTGAAACCCGACAGTCGTGTCTATCCGCAACAGCAACGGCATGATCGAGACCATCGTCATTCTTTTTTTTTTTTTTGCTACAAACAAATCCACATGGTGAAACAAAAAAAGTACAGCAGAGAAACAAGTCAAGGGAAGTAGCCCGACGGCCTGGAGAAACGTCTCTTGTGAGGCATTCCCGTTCCTTGTCCTCCTCCCCTTCTCTTGTCGCACAGCAAAATTAGCCGGCCGGAAGAAAGACGGCCACTTTTGTTTTGCTTTTATTTCATATTCCTCCGAAAAACGCCTTGTGACGCGGCAGGAGACGAAAGATGTGAGGGCGATGTGAGACGATCTCTTTTCTGCCTGTATTGGTTTCCTGTTTCTTTTTTTTTTTTTTTTCTTTGTTGCCGTTGAAGGTTTGAAGCCGTCCGCTCACGATCCCGGAACGAGGGCGCAACACGGGCGGATCAGAGAAGAGCAAGTCGACTCTACGGGGACCACCAGCCATGTATGACGGATGATTAAAGCCTATTTTCGTCTTTTCTCTCCTCGTTTCGTGCTGTTGCGCTTCGTTTCTGCCAGAATGCTTTGCTTGGCATTGCGCAAGGCCTTCCCCTGCATGGCGATCATACTGGACACCTTTGACAGCACGCACAGACGAGGGATGGGAAGAGGAAGGTCAGGCGAGCAGCAGAGAGGGAACAAGACAAGCGCAGATACGACCTAGAAAGAAGCGGCGACGAGCATCAAACCTCCAACCCACCCAGCTCAATCCGGCATGCCCGTCATGTGCACCTTTCCTACTTTGTCGTTCGCCCTCTCATTTCCTTTTTTTCTTGTCCTTTGTCCTCATTTGGGTTTCTGTCTCTCATTTCGCCCATCGTCTCGGCCATCGTCCGACATGAAATGCCCCGAAATCAAGGCGACTACAGTTTTTTGTATTTGTATTGCAATTTGTGAGCGAGACCATCTGTCGTGTAAGTCGCGGGTCCAGCCTGGTGTGGTGCCTCTCCACAAACGCCCAAAATCTGACGCTTCCATCCAATCAATCCTGGTGGAGTCAACAATTGCGATACCCCAAACAACAACCCCCTGGTTCGCTAGCCGCCAATCGCCCATTCTTGTCTTTCTCGTCCTGTTCTTTTTCTCTTCTTTCTCTTTTCTTTTCTGCTCCTCCCATTCTTTCCACACTCACCAGTCTTTTTCATATCGTGTCCCCTGCCGGAGATCTGAAACGTCGACCCGATGGAGAGGGTCTGCGCACAACCCCGGCTGCAAGGGCGTGTGCGTGCTTTGGTGACGGCGTGTGTCCAGTGACCAGAGTCGACAGCCGTACAGAGTCATACTATCTGTACCTGTCCTTTCCTTGCCCAACACAGCTCCGCGCCTATTCAGATTGCGGCGTCCACTGCCTTGTCACGCCTGTGCGTCCTTGCACGCTTTGTTCTTGTCATCCGCCATCCACTGGCTGGCAGTCGTCTGTGCTGTGACTTGGGCTGTCTTCGTCCAAATTTCCTGTGTCCTCTTTCATTATTTTGTCATCGGACGTTGCCTCTTTACCCGACGTATCTTTGGCCTCGTCTCCGATCTCTTTTCCCATCCAGCCGTGTCCCTTGTGTCCTGAGGTCTGTTCTCTAGCCTCCCTCACGGCGTTGCCCACCCCCCAACAAGATCCCTTCCCATTCTTTCGTCGCAGCCAGATATGGTCCGTCGATCCCTGATACGCGACATCGACACGGAGGTGTTGGTCCCCCTCTTCCCCCTTCGGATGGCCGCGCCCTAAGAGACGCAAGAAGCAAGGAATAAAGCACACAAGAGTCCAGGCGCAGATGGAATGGGCGTGCAGCGCCAAGCTTTGGCTGCCGGGTCCCGTCTGCGGGTTCCAGAGACGGGGCCTGCAGGCGATACAGGCGTGAGCGTGGGCGTGGATGTGGATGAAGGTGGAAGTGACCACGAGTCGATGGCTGGCCACCAAACCAGGTCGTCATTTTGGCCCCGTTTTGTTCGCCCTCTCATGAAACGATGGCCCCAGGACGCACGCGGGTCTGAGAAACGATGCCCACGAGAGAGAGAGAGAGGCAGAGACAGAGATTATAACAGGATCGACACGCCCGTTGTTGTTTCCTTAAGATCCTCTTATTCTCCTCTTCCTTCCTCTTTTGACGTCGTTCTTAGCATCCCCATCACCTTTTTGGCTCCTTCCATTTGAGGTTTCTTTACGACTCTCTCTCTCCCATCTTTTCCGTTCTCACAGTGACATCACGGCCAGCTCGTCTGTCACGCATCGTCCGCCGCATCACAACCGTCACCAACGCGAACAGCCTTGTGAACAACCACCTTTTGTTTCTTGTTCAGTTCGACACTCTTACTCCCTTCTTCGTTTTTGCTGTGCTCCTTCTTTGTGCCTGGATTGCCGTTTGTTACCGCCCGCCATCACGTGGTGACTCGCCCCCCACCTTCCCTGAACAACAGGACTTGTCCATCGTTCCTTCCCGTTTAGGTAATTTCTTTACTGTTCACAGCGACAATGCCTTTGATGCCCTGACGAAGCAACCGGCACGTGGACAAACGCACAAATTTTCTCGAGCAGAGGGAACAAGTAAAAAATAGAGAAGGCAACAGCGAGGGGGTACAGAAAATAAACACAAAGAGGGGGAAAAGGCAGGAACTGCCCCCGAAGGGACATGAACGACTTCTTCACCGTCGCCTCTCTCTCACCTTTCTTTCTTCCCTTCAAATAGCAGGTCTGTCTTGTCACAACACAACAATCAACGCCGGTCGTTCACCCTTCTTGTTCACCCACTCCGTTACACTCCTTTATCCTCTTTTCGAACCCTTGTGCTTTTTATAAGACCGTCGGTGTCTGCAGCGCCAAGACAAAGTCCCCCGGTTTGCTCATTTTCACGACTTTTCCTCCTTTTATTTGTTTTTCTTTCTCGATCTCCTTCACCATCACCCACCAACTGCCCGCAATCTCAAATCCTTCTGTTTCCAATATCGATGCCCGAACGACGATCTTGACGATCTCGACACTACAAGCTATTTCAGCATTTCCAGCAATCTCAATACGAATCTGACGCCAGCCTCAAGACAGGCTCTTGTATCTCCTTTCTAACCTTGTTTTCTTGCTTCTTTCGCTCAGAATGAAGCCGTGCGGTTTTCACAACATTGGCCTTTCGGTCTTTGGCACTCTTCTGCTTCTCGCTGCCCAGCCAGTCGCTGCCCACTCGTGGGTCGAGCAGCTCATGTCCATTGCCAGCAATGGTACAATGACGGGCGCCCCTGGCTACATCCGTGGCTACGTCTCGCGCGCCATGCCCGGTTTCAGCGACGATATGGACGATTTCCTGGTCCCAGAAAACGGCCGCCCCACGGGCAACGAGATCCTGTCGACCGACCCGCTCTGCCACCCGAGTCAGACGATTGGCAATTACAGCACCAAGTTCCCCATGCTGACCGTCACGCCCGGTGGCTACATTGCTCTGCGGTACCAGGAGAACGGCCACGTTACCCTGCCGGAGGTCAACCCCACAAAGCCTCTCAACCGCGGCACCGTCTACATCTACGGCACCACTCAGCCCTCTGACAACGAGCTGTTCCTCGATGTCTTCCAGAAGTGGACAGCCGACGGCACCGGCGGCAACGGCCGCGGCCGTCTGCTGGCTACGCGCAACTTTGACGATGGCCAGTGCTACCAGATCAACAACGGCAACATCTCCGAGGCCCGCCAGGCCCAGTTCACCAAGGTGGCCGAGAACCCCCAGGGCGCCGACCTGTGGTGCCAGAACGACATCCAGCTGCCCAGCGATCTGGTTGCTGGCTCCAAGTACACGCTGTACTGGATCTGGAACTGGCCCACGTTCAACGCCGCCGGCTCGCCGACGGACATCCCGACGGCTGGCTACAACGTCACCCTGCTCCAGCACTACACTAGCTGCATGGACGTGTCTGTTGTTGCTGGCAGTGGTAGTGGCAGTGGTGGCAGTAGCAAGGCAATCACCCACAACTTTGCCTCAACTTACACTCGTAGCCAGGACCTGAATGACGCAGCCGTCCTCAGCCAGCTGGTGAATGGCGCCTTCCAGGTCGAGGTCCCTGGTGCCGGTGCTGGTGCCGGTGCTGGTGCCGGTGCCGGTGCTGGCAGCAACAGTGGTAGCGGAAACAGCACGGCTACCAACCCGGCCACTGCTGCCACCACCAAGCCAGGCAACACGGCATCTGTCAATGCCGGTGGTCAGCATGAGCACACCATTGTTGTCACCGTCACCGAGACGGAGCCTCACTATGTCACAGTAACCGTGCCAGCTGGTGGTGCTCCGACGACTACCTCATCTTCATCGTCCACCAAGACCGGCGGCAGGATGCTTACGGTTACGGATACCGACACCTTCATTGTTACCCGGACGCGCGAGCCACCCAGCTCCGAAAATAGT